ATGCTTCCAGTGTGGCTCCTCTCAGAACTTGGGATCCATCTGCATGCTTTCAGTGTGGCTCCGCTCAGAACATAGCACAAGTGGAGTTGGGACCAGAGCTTTGCTTGGATTTTAGGGGCTCCCACACACTGCTGGGAACATGACCCAGGAGTGGAAATAGTGGAGACCAGAGTAGGACCCTGGATCTCTAGCTGTGTGTCCCTGGGGCAGCCAGGAGAACACCTCCGTGGTGTGAGTGGGTGGGGGCAGTGAGGTTCAGGGTCACCCTGGCTCTCCTGACGTGCTCACGTGGAAAGCTGTATTTCCTGCGCCAGTCTCACACCACCAATTTCTGCCCTTTGCTTTTGTCCTCCCAAAAGTCCTCTCTTGCTGAGTAAGTTTTCTGCCCCCAGGAGTACATACTGAAAGATTTTCACAGCCACTTGCTATTTCTGTGAGAAGCACAGGGAGGCCTCGTTCACATCGCCCACCCGAGCCGCCACCACACTAAGCATTCCCACCCTGAATCCCCCGGGGACTTCTGCCCTCTGCCCTGGAGCCATCCGTCTCAGGCCTCTGCTTCACTTCCATCACCTACACTAGCATTAGGTGCTGTTTTCTGGGCCATTTTGTACAGTGGTTGAGTTTGAGTTTTCTCACTTTGTAAGATTGCCCGAAGTCACAGGAATATGGGGGAACTGAAGCCCCCAGGGATGCCCAGCTGACGGGCCCTTCCAGTGTCCCCGCAGATGCCCAGCGCTGCTCTCCCTGGCATCCCTGCCATGCAGGGATAGGTGCAGTTCCAGTTTGTGCCAGCACAAAGTGACATATCATGACGTGTGCGAGCCTTGCCCAGGAAAACCACCGTGCAGTCTGCTGTTGTGGGGCCTCTGCTCAGCTGTTCTCATCACAGGCGTGACCCGCCCGATTGGGTCTGAGTTACTGTATTAGCCGACTGGGGCACAATCATAAACACAGGCTGCCTGATAACAAGGGGCTTTGTCTTGCTCTGGGTCTGGGCATGCTCACGTTGCCTTCTCTGGGGCCGGGGAGAGGTGCAGAAGCCAGGCCTGTGATAACTCTGGCCACCCTCTGTCCCCTGCAGCCCAGTTTGGCATGGGTGCTGGCAGGCCACTGTCTTCCTCCCTGATCTGGGAACAGGGGTGTGTCATGCCACAGCTGAGTGCCCAGGCTTAGGACGGCAAAAGCAGAAAGCAGACTTGCCATTTTCTCCTTCTAATTTCTGAGCTAATTTCCTTGCAACATTTTTAATATGTTAAGCACCTTTGAACAGCTGGCAGCTATCAAATAAAATAATGGAGGTGGTGGGAAGGCACTTTATCTTGATGAGCTCCTTGTCTGACATTGTGCCTGGCACTGATAGGTGCTCGGAATCAGTCCCCGAGAGGGCAGGGATCGTGACCTTTCCTGCAGCAGAGGCAGCACACACACACAGTGGAAAAGGACAGCCTGTTGCTTTCTGGCTGTGTGACCTCAAGTGGGTTAGGGCCTCGGTGTCTCACCTGCAAGGGTCCTAACAGAACGTAACTCCTAGGGCAGCTGTTGGATTTAAATGAGTTAATGTGGAGAGAATGCTTAGAACAGTGCCTGCCACGTGTGATTGTTGGTGCCGTGACCAGGATTTTTATTAGCAGCAGCTACAGCTGCCCACAGGGCTGGTCACTGATCCCCACAGCAGGCAGGGATCAGGAAACTCTTGAGGGCCCTTGACCAGCCCTGGATCGCCAATCAAGGGTCCTCTGTAGCTGCCAGGACACTCCCTGTGAGGGAGGAACCCTCCCACGACTTTTATTTTCTGTGCTGCTCGTCTCCTCAGAGCCTGGCACCGGCGCTGTCTCTCTCACTTTCACTGTCCTTATAAATACAGCCCAGCCTCATTTTCTGACCTTCCGTCAGCTTCCCAGGGTGTGTGTGACTTAGAACAAGAATGCAGTTGAGAAATCAGCCCTCGTTCTGTTCCACCTGGAGAGTCTTCTGACATTCTGTCATCTCTGAGGGTAGAATGAGGAGACAGCTTTGGGGCACATGGTTCGGGGGTCCTTCCCTGCATGGCCGTGGAGGCGAGGTGTCCTCTGCCTCTTCTGCCGCCAGCCATGACCACTGACGAATCCATTAGCGATGGAGGGCTCCTGTTAGCGTCTGCGAGGCTGGGCTGGCACGGGCTCGGGCGTAATTGAGTGCTGTGGGAAATGTGATTAAAATGTGAAAAAGCTGCTGCCCAGTCCCAGCCCTGTAAAGACTGTGGTGTTACACAAAAGGCAGGACCAGTTGTCCCTGCTCCTTTAGCCATCGCTGAAGGAACAGTTGGCATCTCAGCCAGGAGGCCTGACTCACCGTGCCACTGAAGTCGCAGTTCTGCGGCACGTCGGACAGCTTCGTCCTGAGCTGAATGCCTGCTTGTTGCTTTTGAGCAGGGTGTTAAAGGGCCTCTCATGCTGTGGCCTTTCTGCGTTGCTCTTAATATGATTTTTATGTAAGGGAATTACTGGCTCACTGTTTCCTGAGAAAACCAGATGGCTGCACTGACATGTTCACCAGAGACTTCACAGATTTGTGCCAAGCTTATTAGCATTTGCCAATCTCACGGAAAAACTAAGACTAGAAAACTAGAATGCATGCCTGTCCCACCCCCCACCCCCCCGTAAAGTGGGCTTCAGCTCTCGAGAGCCAGAGCTGGCAGCCCACGTGCAGCTTGTACTGATCCATCATTCCTGGGCGGCAGCAGCCTGGCCTCCTTCCTCCCCGGTGCCTGCAGCTCGCCCCATCACAATCGCAGATTTTCTTGTCCGCTTTAAATTGTGGACTGAAACCACGTATTCCCTGGTGAAGTACAGTTCCAGCTCAGAGAGGCTTCATCACAGCACTGACGTGAAAAGACAAACAGAAATCTGACTTGCCATGTAATCCATCCAATAAAAAAACCACCCAAGGGTAGAGGAATAGATATTCATCACCTCCTAGCAAGTCAGCCAAGCCTGTGAGTTTAAGTGCAATATTTCTAGGTGGATTTAGAAAACCTTTCCTTGGCAAAGCGAAGAGTTCTCCTCCTGACAGCTCACTTCACCAGTGGGCCAGCCTGTCTGGGTTAGAACAAAGGGAATTCTGCCCGTGTGATTTGGGCCAGACAGCAGTTTTCTACTTCCCCAGCGACTTGCAGACTGTGGTGGAAGTTTGGATATTTCTCCAGAAGTTATGCAAAACTCCCTATTGTGCTGCCTACATTGGCCTTTATCTGTCCTTAAGCTTTGGCTGCCCAGGTGGCCTTTGCCCTGGGTTAGCATGCGCAGAATAATAGCATTGGCTTGAAAAGAGATTCAAGGGATGATTATGAGATTATTCAGCAGGCTTGTCACCAGAGAATTTATCGGTTACGGAGGGCATGCGGGTTTTCTTACTGTTCTGGAATTGTGCTTTGGAGTGCCTGTGCACCTGTGTGTCTTTCCCAGCACTTTGTGAGGGTATCTTGCTGCTTCTCAGCACCTTATTTTTCCAGGAAGTTCTTTTGCTTAATGAAGGGTCTTTGAAAGGAGCCAGGGTGGGAGTCTTCACTGCAGTGTGAACTTCAAAAGGAATATTTTGAAGAAAGTGTGGTCTGATTTGAATTTCAGCAGCTAAGGGAAATCTACTACTTAAAATGATTTTTACCCACTACGTTAGGAAATTTCTTTTTTTTTGGAGACATAGTCTCACTTTGTTGCCCTCAGTAGAGTGCAATTGCATCACAGCTCGCAGCAACCTCTAGCTCTCAGGCTTAGGCGATTCTCTTGACTCAGCTTCCCGAGTAGCTGGGACTACAGGCGCCCGCCACAACACCCGGCTATCTTTTTGTTGCTATTTGGCCAGGGCTGGGTTCAAACCCTCCACCCTCAGTATATGGGGCCAGCACCCTACTCACTGAGCCACAGGCGCCACCCAAGTGTTAGGAAATTTCAACCTCTCTACCTGAGTAGAACAGGCCAGTTTTTTCTTACTGACATTAGGTGAGGACTTAGCTAAATTTCTTGGTTCTGCTAGATCTGAGCCAGCAGCTAGCCGGGGTGTAGAACTTGATGTGTGTCTCGGGGTCAGTCACACACATACCTGTGGCAATTCCAGTATATAAAGGTGAGTGTGGCTTGATAAAAACTGGCTCGTGTGTGCTTTACACACTCACTCACTGATGGGAGCCCCTCATCCCATCTGCGGGTACTTAGTGAGCAGCACTGCTTAGTCTGGTTAGAGAGGGAACAAGGACAGCGTGGCCCTGGGTGCTGCAGCTGACCGTCTAGAGAGGACAGATAGCCCTGTCTCCATGAAGCATGTCTCCTGGGTGAGCCACTGCAGCTAACTGCTGTCCTAGAGTGAGCTGGGAGGCAGAGCCAGCTGTACCCAGGAGCTGCTCCCCCGTAGCCCTTCTGGGACCTAAATGGGTCACATGTGCTTGTGCTGCATTTTGGAAACATTTCAGAACCGTTCTTGTCTACCTCTTGGGGTGATGGGAAGATGAGTGCATATATGATCCACTTTCGATTTTTTAGGAGTAGAATATTCTGTTTGGTCTTTCTGGATTTACTTTGTTTCCTACCTTCTTCTCTAGCACCAGGACTTCCAGCAGAAGAGAGGCCTGGAAAGAGAAAGGACGTTAAACTCAGGCCGAACATTGTGGCTCCAGTTTGCAGCTCAGGGATAAAGGCTGTGGGGCACACAGGTTGACACTGAGAAGGCCACAAGTCTGGGGGATATTGAATTTCACCATCTGGCTACAACGCCAGGGCTCTCTAAGATTTGTTTATTCCTTTGAGCAAACACTGCTCAAACTCTGCACGGTGACAGGAGAGAAGTAGAACACTTGCCCTTAACTGGGGGTGATCAGAATTTTCAGGTGACATCTCAGTGTTTAGCAAAGAAAAAGTAGCTGTCTCAGAGGAGGCAAAGGGTGACAGTTTCCAACTTGCCTTCAGAATGCTGAGCTTTCGTTTTGGGGGAAGCTGTATATAATTTTTTTTTTTTCTTTTTAACAGAATGAAGTTGACCTACTGGCGTTCTTCCAAAATGTGATGAAAGAAACTAGGGCAGAGCCAAAAAAGGTGACGAGTTGGGTCCTCAACACTTTTCTGGGCTATTTAAAGCAACAGAACCTGGCTGTCAGGGAGAGGTGAGTGAGAGTGGGGATTTCTTTCTTCCTTTATGATGGACTCTGTGTCCCAAAGCAGCAGAAAATAGGGCGGGTGCAGTTTTTTGCTTTCCCTGTTCTCCCTCTGAATCTCCTGACAAGACACAAATATCCCCTGTGAATTCCAAATGCTAAATCTGTTCTCTGTCCCGTGTGAAAATTCATTTATGTGTTCAGGTCTCTGTGGATTATGTCCTTTGTACTTTGTGAGGGACTAGGGGTTTAAAGATGAGCAGAACAAGTTGTTGACACACTGGTGAAGGACACAGACCTGTAAGAAAACGGTCCCCTTGGGGGATCCTGTCAGGCTAGACATGTGCACAGGGCGCTGGGGAAATCGGCCCAGGTTTCCCTCGGGTGAGCCGAGCCCTGCACTTGCGGGAGTTGGCAGAGGCGAGGGGCAGGGCCTGCAGACGCCAACACAGTAGAGCAGTGCTGGGTGACACGCAGGCCTACAAGGCCCAGGACACCCAGAAGTTGGGGAATGTGGCGGGCCTGAGGCAGACAGACAGGACAGATGGGGACAAACCTGCAGAGGTGACCAAGAGCCCCCTGGAGGACTGTGAATGCCTTTGTCAGCTCTTGAAGGCCATAGGTGACAGGCTCATACTGGTTTCACATGGGGGGCTGGGTACAGTATGCCTTAGCCAGCTCAGACGCAGCAACATACCCCATACTGGGTGACTAAGCAAGGGACATTATTTTCCATAGTTCTAGAGGCTGAGAAGTTCAAGATCAAGGTGCTAGCGGCTGCAGTCCTGGGTGAGGGCCGCCTCCTGGCTTGCAGATGACTGCCTTCTTGCTGGGTCCTCACGTGGTGAGCAGCGGGTAGGGGGAAGAAGAGGCACAGAAAGCAGGGAGGGAGAGAAAGCCCCATCTCTTCTGGCAGTAACAGAAATCCCATCATGGGGACTCAACCCGGGTGATCTCTTCTAAGCCTCCTCATCTCCCAAAGGCCCATCTCCTAATACCTTCACATTGGGGGTTAAGGCTCCCATATATGAGTCAGGGGGAGACACAAGCATTTCCATCCTTAAAAGGGAGAAAAAAAGACTAGAGGCAGGAATTCTCTTTGGGAACCTCCTGCAGGAATGCCACTGAGAAATGTCCCAGGCTGAGCTGAGTTGGCAGCGGTCAGGCTGAAGTGAGGTGGGCCGTGTTGAGAGCAGTTACCTCACCCTGGCACAACTTCCACAGGGCTTGCTTGGGCGGGAAGGTGAAATGGAGAACAGACTATTGGATCTATGAGAGGTAAAGGAAGAGGAGTTTAGAAGGAGGGGGTGAGAACACCAGGTTCCATTTGGACACGCTGAGTTAGTCAGAGCTGCCTGCAGGACATGTGTCCCTTGAGGGTATCCGGTAGGCTGGGTATATGGGTCTGCAGCCACAGGGGAGCTCCAGGAGGTATAGATGTGAGTTCTTGTTTTGCTTGTTATCCAGCGTACGTTGGTCCAAGGATCCTCAAACTTTTTAAACAGGGAGCCAGTTCACTGTCCCTCAGACCGTTGGAGGGCCGGACTGCGAGCCCTGAGACCAGTTGGCTGCTAAGCAGGACAGACAGCAGCAGCAAAAACACCCAGCAGGCCAGATAAATGTCCTAGGCAGGTTGCATGTGGCCCGCAGGCCGCAGTTTGAGGACGCCTGGTTTAGGCCCTGCTGTGTGCTGAGCTCTGTGCTAAGCATGGAAAGCACAGTCCACAGGGCACACGTGGGCCCCACTCTTGGGCAGGTGGTCTGGGAGCTGTTGACTGTAGAGTGGTGACAGAGGTGGTCTTAGAGGGGGAAAAAAGTAGCAGCCAAGCTGAGGCCTGAGCATAGCACCAGCAAGGGTAGACTGGCCCCGGGGTGCACGTGGGTGTGACAGTGGGGGATGTGGGTACATGGTGCGGTCTAAGTCACAGGGGTCCCCCGAGTGCTGGGTAGATGAGAACCATCTAGGATGTGAGGGTGGCCGAGGGAGGGGCCATGGCTCTCTGGTGAGACTGAGGAGCACAGACAGAGGAGGAGGAAACAGACAAGATAGCAGAGAAGTAGGAAGGAAACCAGGACAGTAGTGTTGGTGTCATAAAGCCAAAGAAAAGGTCGTAAGACGGAAAGCGTCGATGTCGTGTCCGCCTCCTGCTCTCAGTGTACTTACCCAGGCGCGGCCAGGTGGGGTTAGTTCACCTCCTGACTCAGCTGCTTGCCAGCCGTGACCTCAGGCAACTTCCCCTCTCTGACCCTCAGCTGCCTTGCTAGAAAATGAAATGGCAGTGCGGGCCTCACAGGGCTGTGGAGAGGAAGACGCACAGACCTTGCACCCAGCAGGCGGCGTGTCTCTTCTTTCTCCTGGCTGTGTTGGTGTGTTGAGGACTGAAACAGTGGCCACCTCAGTCTCCTGAAGTCCTGTGGCATTGGGAGCTTTTTTGTCTTTGACCCTAGTCCTCCCAGGTTCAACCTTCCATTCAGACATTCCACTATTTACCCTGGAAACGTTGTGGCCATTCTGTGAAAGCAAGAGCCTTTGGGAGGGGACGCAGCTGTACCAAGGCCTTCAAGGCTGAGCGCTGGGTAACACCTGTGTCTGACAACAAGTGAGGGGGGGATTTTTGAAAGAAGAGGTCTTGTAGAGGGCAGGCAAGGGATGCAAACATGCTCACAGAGGGTTGTTAGATTGTAACTGGTAGAAGGTAAGAAATTGGGCAGATGTGAGTAACTGTAAGATCAGCCAAAGGCGTTTTCAAAATTAGGGAGATCTGAGCATCTGTGAAGGTGTGAGATTAAAGCTGCAGTATAAGCCAGGCCTGGGGGCTCACACCCTTGAAGTCCTAGCTACTCGGGAGGCTGAGGGAAGAGGATCACTTGAGCTCAGGAGCTCAAGGCTGCAATGAGCTGTAATCACCCCACTGCACTCTAAGCAGGGCGACAGCAAGACCCTGTCTCTAATAAAAAAAAAAAAAATTCAGAACAGAAAAAATAAGCAAAGGTTCAGAGGCGTGGACAACGATGGGGCTCCGAGCATGTGTGGAGGGGTGTTTGATGGAGGAGGAAAAGGAGGGGACGCTAGAACATTCTGGCTGTTGCCTCAGCTGATGTCATTATGAAGTGGGAGGCAAGGGCACGTGCTGAGAGGGCAGTGGGAGGGAGACTGTCCAGAGTGGGTGTTTGGATGGGGTGCCAGGTATGGGCACCAAGAAGTCGATGTAGTGAACGCAAGGATTAGTACATGGCAAGTGCCCCTGGGAGGGCTGAGGCCAGTGTCTATCTCCTCACGTCCTGTTCTGACGGAAGCTGAGAGGGTGGACTTTGGGCCTGAGACAAGCCTGGGGATGGAGATGGACAGCACCTTTCAATGGGGCAGGGTGGGGTGGAGCGGTCTTCTCTCCAAATCTAAGCTGGAGATGGAGCTCTGAGGGACTGGGCAAAGTTGGAAGATCTGAAAGATCCCATCTCCCCTCCTCTGGCCTAGGGAAATCTGAGGGAAGAGAGACCACCCAGCACGCAGGGCCCAGGCTGTGTGTTCTACAGCAGGGACACAGGCAATGTCCAGAAACCAGTGCTCTCTGACAGCAGCAAATTAGTAGCTCGTGCTGCCACCACTGTGTTTCAAGCTTGATGCTTGGTTTACTTAGCTGGGGAGTGGGGTTGGCGTAACAGGTACTGATCTTGGTCATTGTCTGTTCAGATGTAGCCCCAGCATATCTGGAACTGGCATGTGCAGTAGACCAGAGAGCCCTGCTGGTGGGAAGAATCCTGTGACACAAATATTAATTATCTACTACGTGTTGAGCACTGTGGGAACAAGAGGTGATTGAGAAATCCCAAGTGCTATTAGATCAGTGGAGAGATTTTATAGCAAAAGTTTATGACCCAACTGATAAGGTCATTAGATGAATTTCTGTAAAACAAGGTATTTTTAGTTGTTTTGTGTTCTTTTCCTGTCCCTCTTCACCCTCACGTCCTTTATTTCATTGCTGTGGTCTGATACACTGATTATGATTCATATTTTGAGATTTACTCAAGGTGATAGTGTTAGGAGGGTAGGGTCTTTGGTGGGTGATTTGGTCATGAGGGAGGAGTCCTCGTGGGTAGGATTAGCTCCCTTATAAAAGAAACTTCAGAGACTCCCTCACCCCTTCCACCATATGAGGACATAGTGAGCCGGTGCCATCAGTGAGAAGGCAGGCCCTCACTAGACACGGAGTCTGCCCATGCCTTGATCGTGGACTTCCCAGCCTCCAGCACTGTGAGAAATAAATTACCATTGTTTATAAGCCTTTCAGTTATAGCAACACACATAGGACAAACTCTGGCTCATACGGGGGCAGGGACCTCATCTTTTGCATGCTCTAGAAATCCAGTTCAACCTCAGTGCTTATTTGGGTTCCACACACAGTCTACACTCAGTGACGATTGACCATTACATTTTATAGGATTGCAGAACTTCTAAGCAACCCACACTTTCAGGAAAACCTGCCTTCCTATTACATATTGCCAGTAAAGGTGGGAGGTTGGACAAGGATTTAGTTTATTCCTCAGCCCTCTCTGCCCCTCTTCCTCAGAGAGTCAGTCAGGGTGGTTCACAGATGTTCTGAATGCCAATTTAATAATACCAGACACTCTCCAGACCTAGTTTTCACTTGGAATTACCTTTTATCCATACTTTGAAATAAACAAACATGCTTCATTATCTGAACAGACAACCCTAGTAACATTTCACTGTCCTTGATTTAGAGGACAGTGAGTCATGCCTGGCTAACTTGTGCCCATTGGTTTGGAGTTCATGGATATTGTCATAGGGAGTAGGCTGTAGTTTCCTTTTTATTACCTGAGACCACCAAAGAAATTAGTAGTGAATGATGAGAAACAACTTCACAGAAGTGCTATTGTCCATTTCAGGGGCCTTCATTCACATGGAGACACAGTGTGCTGTTTAAGTCATTCTTCCCCTGCCTACCTCAGATAGATATTTCATCAGCCTGGTTGCTGTATGTACAGGTTGAGTGTTCCTAAACCAGAAATGCAGATTGCTCCAAAACCTAAACTTTCTGAGTGCTGACATGACACTTAAAGGACATGCTCACTGGAGCATTTCAGATTTCGGATTTTCAGATTAGGGATACCAGGCCAGTAGGCATAATACAGATATCCAAAGTCTGAAAACAAAAAAAACAATATTCAAAACACTTCTGCTTCCAAGCATTTCAGATAAGGCATACTCAACCTGTATTTAGAAGCCACCAAACCATATATTTTAAAAGAAATAGTTGTAATTCATTCTTGCCTTTTCCTTAATCCAGGCATGTACCCTAATGTGAATTAATGACACTTTACTGTCCTTTGATATTGTGGGATCTCATGTAACTCATGAGTTATGCAAGTAACTCATGTCATAGAAGTATGAATTTCAAAAAAAATTAAAAATAAAAAAGAAGTATAAATAGATTCTGGCCTTTCTGTGCCCAGGAAGCTGCTGTGGCCCCACAGAAGTGAAGAGAGGATGGGGGTCAGTGAGGCCTGATGAAGGCATGGCTGGTAGTCAGTTGCGTTCCTGTAAACAAAATCTCTTACCATTATAAGGAATTTATATTTGTACAGAAACATTCAGAAAAGTGGCTTTGTTAGCTGTTTTGTTTGAAGTGATTTTTAGGCTGATCTTTCAGTTGAAAATATTTAATCACTGGACTTTATTTTCTTTTTCTCATCATGGTTCATGAGTTTTGCAGCCACCTCCCTTTTTTGACTAATTATACCAAGCAGTTGTCTGTTGCTACAACTTCTGCCAAACAGCTGTTAGTGTTGGGTGGTAAAAGAAAAGAAAAACACTAGTCACAAACATTTGTTATATCCTAAACGCAAAATAGAAAGAGCGCCCAGCTGGCCTGTTATCTCTGTCCCTGGGCATGGGTCTTGATCATTTAAACCTACCAGGTCGAGTTCTGATCCGGAATAAGGGCTCATGGGTTCCTGACGGCGTGCATTGTAAATGTGTCTTCTCTCCTTTTGGGGACCTCTAGTCCTGTCACAGCCTCTGCACTCGCCGAGCTTCTTGACCTGCTGGACAGCAAAGCAATTTCTTCATCAGCTGCTAAACAGGTATGTGCACACCCCCAAAGCACCTGACGGCTCCACTGTTCCAGTAAACGTTTCCTGTGACACCCAGAGGCCGTCACTAAGTG